GTGACTGGTGCCCCACAGACTGTGAGTAGGAATATAACCCGGTTCCTCTCCTTGTGGCCGTAGTGTGTGTGTGTGTGTGTGTGTGTACATGCACGTGTAGGCACCTCGGGGCATGTCAGCTCACCCAGGCTGGAGTCTGGTTGGAGAAGGGTACCTCTCAAGGGCAAAGAGGAGCTGGAGTAGCGGTGGGAGAGATGGAATCTTATCCAAGACTGCCGTAAGGACATTCCTCCTGCAAGGGAATGTACTGGCTTTTGCCATTCGGAAGTCCAGGCTAGGACTGGCTTCAGGTACAGCTAGATCCAGGGGCCTGAACGTCGTCCTCAGGATGGCGCTTCCTCTCCCTTCGGTGGTGGAGAGAGTCACGCGATGCCGAGAATCACCAGCCGTGGTTCTTAGAAGCCTTTGGTCACGAGTCATAAAAGCTAGAGCTGTTTTTCAGAAAAATGCTATCCTTGCTGGACACAATTCCTTCTTTGCCTATGGTTCCGTATGGGGAATTGTCCCTCCAGGCTCTGAGGTGAGGGATGGCAGGCCGCACACGGTGCCTACCTGTGTGTGCTGAGGGAGCCGAGGCTGGGGGGCTCTGAGGTGGCATAAGTGTACACCAGGCAGGGCTCCAGTCCCCCTACCCAGTCTTCTCTCCCAAGGTCCCCTGCCTGGGTCCTGCCCGGCTTCTCCCTCTTAGCTTTGGGCCCCCAACCTGTCTTTCAGCTGGAAGTGCTGGCAGATGGAGGAAGACGCTCCCCGACCAGGACAGTCTGTCTCTCTCTCGGCCATAGCCGACGGTCTGGAGAACTTGGGAGCGGAGTTCTTGGAAAACCTGGTCTGTCTCCGTCCTCACCCATCGCCTTTCTTCATGCTCCCCATGCGTGCCTCCGTGTTGGCCTTCTCAGGACAGTGTGCACCGTTTCCCAGGCACAAAACGGTTACTGAGCACCTACTATGCGCCGGTCTAGTTTGTCCCAGCCTGGAAGGTCAGAGCTGTTCTCCTTAGGCAGGGACATCTGAGCTGTGATTTGCAGACACCTGAGAACCGGCCCCCATGGGAAGTCCCAGCCTCCGAGGCCCTCCCCACCCTGCCCTCTCCCAGGAATGCCGGCTCTTCCTGCCCCTCGGGCAAGGAGCCCTAGGGTACACCTTCCACCCCTTCCTCTGTGCGGACAGCCCTTTAAGGAAGCCAGTTTTGAGTCCTGGGCCCCTGCGGGTGGGCGTTACTGTAGGAGAGAGCTCCACAGGGTTTCTGGGGGCCGGCTTTTAGGGAGTCCATCTCCGGGTCTCTCTGCTGTGGCAACTCTGGGCGGTGGACTTGAACCTCCGACCTTTTGGTCAGCACCCAAGGGTGATAGCCACTGGTGCCACCCAAGGAACAACACCCTGGGAAAGGACTGCACGGACGGAGCTCAGTGCTGCCAGGCTGTGTGGCACTGCAGCCCTGCCTGGAACCTTCTCTCCAGGTTTCCTGTCAGCCCCCGACTCATTCAGACCGCGAGCTCCCTGAGGACGGGAATGGCGGCTGGCACACAGTAGGCATTCAGGAAAGCTCTGCTGAATTCCATGACACCGTCCTTCATTTATGTCCCGTGGACACATCTGGTCCTCTTAGGACATGCTGTGGCTGTACTGGGGGCATCAGGATCAGGAACGCTCACCCCCTTGCCCCCCATCCCGCCCCCAGCGTGTGTGGCTGAGTGGCCCACTCTGACCTTCCTCTGTTGGCACAGGAGGAAAACCAGGGTTCTGGCTTTGACTGGAGCCCTGCCGAGGATGTGGGCAGTTGGAGTGAGGCAGGGCCCAAGCCCTTCTCCAGGTGGTAAGTGATCGGCAAGTGGGGAGAGAGGCCTGGTGAGGGTGTGGGGTTTGGGGTGGGGTGGGCGGGGCACTATGTGCACCTGGCCTCCTGACAGACGGGGCTGCCCTTAAACCCGCTGAAGGTCAACCCAAACTTTCAGACAAAAGAGCTCTGGGCTCAGGACCTCAGAGACAAACTAGGCTAGAGGCTGCCAATCTGCTTGTAAGCAGCCGGATTGGAATCCCACTGGGAACACTCTCCAATAGTGGGGGGACATGGACACTGCTCTAGTCAAAGTGAGGTAGACGGCCTCTAAACCAGGCCAGCCTCCCTCTCAGCCTACCCAATCTGCCTTCTCTCCCTCTTGGTCTCTGGGGAACCTAGGGGAACCCCGAGGCTCAGTTTGGAACCCCCTGGACTGGGCCATGCCCCTCACTGAAGCCCAGAGGTGGAAGGGCCTGGCCCAAGTAGAGCAGGTGGGGAGTTCTGCAAGCCGAGAGCGCAGCCTCCCGGCCCCCAGGCCTTGGGGTGTCCCCTCCCACTCAGGGACTCACCCTCTTGGGGGGAAGCACAGAGAGAAGGGCAAGAGGCGCCTCAGGACAGCAGCTTCAGGGGAGTCTCAGTTGTCCAGGGGGCACCTGCAGGTCCTCCAGGCCAGCTGAGAGACTCCCTGACGAGGCAAGAGTAGGCATCTGAACTGGGCCCGGGGCAGGGGATTGGTGGCCGCTGGGCCTGGGCCAGGCCGTTTCCGATGCCCTCTGGCTGAGGCCCCCAGGACAGAGATGGGCAATGCCCATTCAGATGATGTGTGCCGCCTCCCCCGACGGGAGCCTCTCCCCCTGGCTCCCCACACAGGTGTCTGGAGGCGGGGGAGGAGAGGCGGCCCTAGCCCGGGTATGTGCATTCCCCCTTGGGCTGGCTCCCTCCCAAGCCCCGGAGGCAGGTGGGTTGACTCCGGGAGATGCAGGAGGCACAACTGGGGCAGAGATGGAGGCCAGGAAGCTGGGCGGCAGAGCTGGTCTTGCCACTGCTAGTTTGCTCTGGGCTGACCCTCAGCCTTCCCTTCTGTGGGAGGTCACAGCCAGTTTCCAGCTCACCTCATGTGGCCATTTTACTGGGCACATGTCAGAGTGACTCCCCCTGGAGGGACTGGGGGTGGCCACCTGGCAGGCACTTGGGAGGGACCCCCCTGGACCCTCCTGTGCATCTCCTCAGGAGGAGCCTGCAGCCGGCCACGAGGGCGGGACGCCTTTACAGGGAACACGCGCAGCTGTTCCGATGGCTCCTCACAGGCCTGCTCTGCACCGGTGAGTCTGGCCCCTGCTGCAGTCCCCCCC